TGTATCCTATTAATTCACCATAATGCAATTAACTTAGAAATACGAAAACATTATCTTTTAAAATTATGAACAAAACCCTAACTCATGGATCAAAGAAAACAATCGTGGGTTGGAGATGTAGCTCAGTGGCAGAGTGAGTGCTTAGCCCACATAAGGCCCTAGGTTCCATCCCCCCAGCACTGCAAAACTAAATAAATAAAAGAGTACCGACATATGTAACATAAATAAACTTTGAAAATCTGCTAAGTGAAGAAGCCAGATACAAAAGAATGTTTATTGTATGATGTCTTATATTTTTTTTCAATTTGTTTTTAGTTGTAGATGGACACAATACCTTTATTTTGTTTGTTTGTATGTATGTGGTGCTGGAGATCAAATACAGTGCCTCATGCATGCTAGGCAAGTGCTCTACCACTAAGCCACAACCCCAGCCCCTGATTTCTTATTTTTTGAGACTGGTAGAGAACTTGCCTGGCATATGTGAGGCCCTGGGTTTAATCCTCAGCACAACACACACACACACAAGCTTATAATGACAAATTTTATGCTTAAATTAAATGTGTGTGTATATGTGTATACACTCTGCACTGGGGATTGAAACCAGAGCCACATGCTGGACAGCACTTTACCACTGAGCTACATCCCTAGCCATTCTTATTTTTAAGACAGGATTTCACAAGTTGCCCCCACTGGCCTTGAATTTTTGATCTTCCTGCCTCAGCCTGCTGAATCACAGGGACTACAAGTGTGTGCAACCTTGCGGGGCTTATGTTACATATTTTTAATCACAATTTTAAAAAGATTAGTTAAGCATGGTGGCACACACTTGTAATCCCAGCTACCTGGAGACTGAGGTAGAAGGGTCCCAAGTTCCAGGCCAGTCTTGAGAACTTAATGAGACCCAGTCTCAAAATAATAAAAAGGGCTGCGAATGTAGTTCAGTAGTAAAGTGCCCCTGAGTTCGATCCCCAGAACCCAAGCAAACGATAAAACCATTGTTAAGAGTAATTTCTTTCATAGGTATACCAATTAGCTTAAAAGTGGAACAACCCAAATGTTCTTCATTCGAGTGGTGGATAAATGTGCTAAATCCATTCAATGGGTTATTATTCATTCATAAAAAGAAATAAAGTAACAATAAATGCCACAACATGACATGACACATAAGCCAGACACAAGAGACCCTATATTGTAGGATTCCATTTATAAGAGGTACCTAAAATAGGCAAGTTCAAGTTCCCAGAGCAGATTAGTGTGTGTCTGGGGCTGGGAGAGGGTTGAGTGAAAGAGGTGATGACTGCTAATAGGTATGGGGTTTCTTTTAAGAATGAAATTGTTCTATAACTATTGTGATAGTTAGAAGTCTAATCTGTGAATATACTAAAGACCACTGAATTGTACATTTTTAAATGGGACAATGTTTATTTCAGTATTTATCTCAGTGTTAGTTATGTCTCAAAAATTTGTTTTTAAAGAATGGTAAGAAACATGCTTAAATAAAGGGAGGAAAAGTCCCAAAATAACCCATAAGAGAGTCCCCTGGGCCTCCATGGCCCAGTCTTTCTGGTTGCTTGAGGTTGGCTCCACCAGTCCAGGGTCCTGGGCTTGACAGTCTCCAGGCAGTCACAGGGGCAGGGCTATCTAGTCCTGGGAGCCACACCTGCAACATTTCCAGCCCTTTAACAGACTCATGGGGTCACATTGATAGCTGGCCAAGATCAGGACCATGCAGAAATGACTCCTCATACTAGGCAGGATCTCATGGCAAATGGGAGTAAGTGGCCTCCCAAGGTCCCCAGCTGAGGAATGGAGACCAAGGTCCCCAGGTGAGGAATGGAGACACACCATGGGCCCGTTATGTAAGGGGTTCCAATTTAGCTCTTCATTATAAACTGTGCTGACCTCTTCTGGTAATTTCAGTACTAATGACCTCAGACTTTCCTGTTGATGGCAAATCTTGTAAGGCATTCAGTTGACTGTTGCCACTGAGAAAGACCCTCCAGCGGGGATTTAGGAGATGCAGATTTGCTAGAAACATCTGTACAGTCTGGAACGCTGGAGGGGGGGAACACCCCTTGGACTTCTATTGTGGAAGTCTTCACAGCAAACCATCCAGGCCTGTCACCCTCCACAGACTATTCTCCTTGATCAGGGAGGCTGAGAGGAAGAATCACATCGCGCACCTGGATTCTGTGAGGAGTTGGACCACACTTGACTCCCACTTAACCATTCTGGAATCTGGAATCGCGATCCAAAATCACGGATTTACTCTAGACTGGAGACGCAATCTGGTCTTGGCGACTTGGGGAACACAGTTGGGGACTCGATTTTGAAAGGAGTTGGATCTGTTTTTATAGCAGCCTTTCTCAAGCAATACCCAGCCGCACAAATGTACCCATCGATATCCTTGGAGCTACATTTTGGGAATCATTTTTTAAAGGAACTGAAGAGCCATCCGTGTTCATAGCAAGCACCCTGGCGAGGATTTACTTAAGACGCCAGATGCAACACTGAGGTAGTGCGGAGCAGGGGCGGGCTTTGCGATGGAATCTTCCAAAAGTCAGAGCTACGGTCCTGCAGGAACCGTGCTGGACTCGCGCCCCCCAAGCGCTCCAGACATTTGGTACCTGCTGGAAGACGCAGGAGCTGGGGACACAGCTGGCGCCGCGAAGAGTTACTTCGGCTGTGGAGTCACTCAACGAGGTTGAGCGAGACGTTCCGGGCAGTCCCTGCGCGGAGCCCGAGCCCAAGCCCCGGGCGGAGCCCTGAGCCCGAGCTCTGGGCCCGCGCGTCTCCCGCCCATCTGCACCTGCTCCCTTGGGAGAGGGCTGTTGGAAACTGGAGGCCGTTGGAGTGCGACGGTGGGAAGTCTCTTGCTAATTTTGTTTTAGAGTCTTGAAGTCTTTTGTTATGGTACATGGGATCCCCCACCCCCACCCCCACCCCGGTTTCCTAATTCCTGGATTGAAGAAGTGCAATTGATTTTTATTGATTCAACGACTCGTTTTCTGTGTGGTTAACATCATCCGAGAACAATGACAGCTTGGTTTCATCCTTGCTGCTCCTTATGCCCCTTTTTCTTTTACTTGTGTTACTGCATCTATTAGGACCTCCCCCCAGACATGGAATACAGTGATAGGGGACACCCCACCATATTCCCGATTGCAAAGACTTACTTCTAAATATCTTTTAGAAAGACTTGCTTTGTCATCTTTTTATAAAATCCCAAATATTTTGAATATTATCAAAATTCACAAAATGTGAAGGTAACCTTGAATTCCTGAAGTAGCCAATTGTGATGTGATTTGTGTGTGTGTGTGTGGCGCTGGGGTCAAACCTGGCTTCTGCTGGCCAGGTACTTGCTGGACCACAGAGCTACATTCCCAGCCCTGATTTATGTTCTCATGAATATTTCCTGGATTCAGTTTGCCAATCAATATTTTGCCTAGAACTTTTTGCATTATTGTTCATGTATGGAGAGGGCTATTCTTTTATCTCTCATCTTAATTGTGGCATCAAAATGATTATATCATGAGAGTTGTGTTTCCTTTTCCTATAGTCTGAAAAGCTGTACAACTTCCAACTTTGTTGCAGGTTCCTGTGGCTGACCTGTGAAACCTCCTGGGTCTACTGTCTTTTTTATGAGGAGTTTTCTTTTACCTCTTCCTTTTGAGTCTTCTGTTAGAGATACTTCTGCCTTCTTTGGTGTGTTCTTCCTAATTTCTTTGTGCTGATACTACGCTGCTCGTTATGTTTCAGACTTGTTTTCGACGTTAACCATTAAAAGAAAATGAAACATTTTCCTTAGGAAGATTTCTTCCCCAAGTTATTATTGTCCCATAAGCATGAACAATGACAGTTGTAAAACCACTATGTGGGTCATTTGATACTGCTTTTTTGGTATTTTAGATTCTTTTAATTTAAAAATAAAATTTTAAAATATTTTCTTAGTTGTCCATGGATCTTTATTTTGAGAAAAATATTCTTTAACTGTTGGGTAAAGATTTCTAAATATATCTTAAATAAAAAAGAAATAGAAACTGGGTGCAGTGGTGCCTGCCTGTTATTCCAGTGGCTCAGGAGGCTGAGGCAGGAGGATTGCAAGTTCAAAGCCAGCCTCAGCAACTTAGGGAGGCCCTAAGCTATTTAGTAAGACTGTCTCAAAAAAGGGTGGGTGGGGGGGAGCTGGGGATGTGGTTCAGTGGATAAATGCCCCTGGGTTCAATCCCTGGTACCAAAAAATAGAAAGACTGACTAGATAAATAGTAATGCAAGAAGCTGAACTGGTAATCACTCAGAAGAAAGATACCAAAAGCTAGCAGCAGGATGCAAAACCACAGGGTTGCATTCTTTGTTCTGCATTTAGGAGGCCTGACAAGCTTTTTCTTTCTTTAAAATCAACCAACCAACCAGAAACTGATCATAAAGCTATCAGCACTCCAAATTGAAACAAGGGAAAGAAAGCTACAACATGGTTTTTGGTAAAAATGATTTGACTTATAAATTTATTTGATCATATTTTAAAAAGCAGGGCAGAATCACATTCTTTCTCTTAATGGTTCCACTGTAAGCATACTCGACTTCAGAGCCCTTGGTTTGCTCAGAAATGTCTGAGAGTCGACCACCAGCAGCCTGGCAAGTCTTTCCTTCCCCTCCAGGCTCTCCTGTCCTTTTGGGAAACAGTTTGCTGACACCTGATGCTGGCCAAAGACCAGGTAGTTGAGCTTGCCAAACCCTGCCTGCCTCCTCCCACAGGCAGCAAGTGGCTTAGCTTATTTTCTATGTAAAATTCTAAGTGGAAGGTTAAACCGAAAATGGAAGGAAATTTCCACTGTAGATAATCCCCAAATATAGGAGTGGGTGAACTCGGTTTAACTGTCCAGTCCCTTCTTTTGCTGACCAGAGAGCGAAATGTTAGCAATGGATTTCTGATCTATTAATCACCAGTGTAATGTGATCAGTTTCGTGGATTAGAACATTCTGGAAAAGCCATCTCTGGATAGGGAAGAAATTACTTTATTATAATGATGGTACTATTAAAAAAGAAAATCAAAGCAGCACACAGCAGGCAGAGTCCCCAGCCTCTTGAACTCCTGCGGTCATTCCACTCCTACCAGCTTTATAGTCCAAGCAGACCCCACTGGGAGAGCAGAGGGCAGCAACAGGGGCAGAGAGATGAGGAGACCTTCGTCCTGGCGTTCAACCCATTTCAGATCCCCCTGGATTCCGAGCATTGAGATCTGCAGGAAGCAAAAGGGAATGGGGAACCCAGTGATGCCCCTGCCCGCACAGACTGTGGCCGGCAGTGCCATGCTGGCTCGGGGCAGGGAAGACCTCTGACGGGCGTGGATACGGGAGGAACCTGGAGAATACAGGAGGTGGGGAGAAGCCCTGCCGGTTCTTTAGAAAAAGGTGCATCTTAGAAAGGACTGAGTGGGCTCTTACTTTTGTATTTGGTGTAGTTATGGGGGATATGATGTTTAAGATTCCATTTTCTGGCCAACGTAAAAAAATGGCATAAACAGCTAATTCTTGTGAGGTATACCTGGGAAGAAAAGAGATATCATTGTCAAAGATACCTGTTTATCACCTGGATAATCTTATGAATTCTGCTTTCAACTGCTTACCAGATCCAAGACCTTGGCTCTCCCTTCTAAGAAGCACTAATAATGCAAAACCAATTAAGGGCTACAGGAAGGCAGCAGTCTATAAAACTCTTTTGATATCTTTCCCCCCCTCTACTATATTGTTTTATATATATATTAGTTTTAAGTGGATACAATATCTTTATTTTATTTTATTTTATTTTATGTGGTGCTGAGGATCGAACCCAGTGCCTCATGAATGCTAGGTGAATGCTCTACCACTGAGCCACAACCTCAGCCCTTGAGTTTTATTTTTATTGATCTCTTACACTAGTGGTTTTACATTGAAGCCATTTATTTTCAAATCTTTTTTTTTCCACTCCAAATTCATGAGAAAATAGGGAATAGAGCAAGGGCAAGGTTTGCAATGAAGATGAGTTTGTTGTCCTGAGATTTCATTATGTTTAGGGAAGAGGGTGAAAATCACTCAATAGAAAAACTCAGCCAAAAGAAGGAATAGTGTGTTTCCCCTGATCTGAAGACCCAAGCTCTTTGGCTCTTGGATACGACATCAGAGGTTATATTTTTTTGAACACTTAGAGTTTGCTGGGTGCTTTATACATATTAGCTCATTTAGTCTTAAAAACAATTTTTTTTTGTTTTTGGTACTAGGGATTGAACCCAGGGGTGCTTTACCACTGAATCACATTCCCATCCCTTTTTATTTTTTCCTTTGAGACAGGGTCTCACTAAGTTGCTGAGGGCCTTGTTAAGTTGCTGAGGCTGGCCTCGAATTTGCAATCCTACTGCCTCAGCCTCTGAATCTCTGAGATTACAGGTGTGCACCTTTACACCTAGCTAGTCTTCAAACAACTCTACAAAGGTAAGTATCATCACTCCCTTTTGCAGTTGAAAACACCAAGGCTAATATCAAATCACTAGCTCCTGAAGTCCAAGTATGCATGGAAACAATTTAGAATGGAGCCCTGTGCATTGTAGGTGTTCTATGAGCATCAACTAGTACGATTTTAGAAGGCAGGGTCTTCTGATCTAGACATGTGATGTCCCCCAAAACCTGTGTTAATGCAAGAATGTTTAGCAGTAGAATGATTAGATTATGAGAGCTGTGACCCAATCAGTGGAGTGCTCCATTAGCTGGATTAGTTACTGGTGGTAACTACAGGTCCCTGGGGGCACGTCTTTTGGGTCTGGACTGAAACTCTGAAACCATGAGCCAAACTACACTTTTCCTTCTCTAAGCTGTTACTGTCAGATTCTGATCAGAGCAATAAAAAGCTGACTAACACACAGGGTGAGAATCACAACCAAACTGACCAATGCACTGTGGCTCCTTCCTGTCCGCCAGACCCCGCCTGCCTTCCCAGCCCGCCATCCTGGGGTACTAAGACATAACCCAACTGGGTCACAGAGTGTACGGCTCAATAGCCGCTGGTTTCCTCAAGACCACGTCTAGCCTGGCAGGTCACCGTGGACTGGGCCATACCCTGTTCCTGTGCACATCACAAGATGAGACTTACCACACAGAGGCGTTCTTTTCGAATTGCACCCGCCAAGGTTTGGAGGAATAGATGGCCTCCCCGTTGACATTCATCCACCTGCCAACAGAAAGGAGCCTTTCTTGGAAGATGGGGTCGATCAATCCATCTTTGGTTGGTGCGATGTTGAGAAGATAGTTGCCTCCCAAACTCACAGTCTGAACCAGTTCCTAAAGAAGGACATGGTGAAACCCTGGCTTAATGCTTAGAATACACACCGAGCCAGAGAAGACTCGAGGGCACTCCTTCCTGCCTTGCAAATATCCCTGAACATTTAAAAATCATTCATATTTTTGTTGTTATAGAAGCAGGATGGGCTCACATGAGAAAACAAAGATCCTGCTATAAGATGGAGAACATGTTAACTGAATTCAAGGGCGAGGTCACAGGCTCTTCTCATGAGACTGCGCTTCTCATGGTGCCGGGCACAGCGGGAAGGGTTGGGTCTAGTACCACAAGGAGAGAGTGGGGCAGGAGAGGAGAGCACTCTGCAGTGGCCGGATCCACAGGAGTGTGGAAAGACAGACAGACTGACAGGGAATACAGGGGTCAGACAGGAGAGATTCTGAATGGCTGCTGTGGACACTGGGCTAGGAGAGATGCAAGGGACTTCAGGACATTCATCATGTGGGCCACAGGGTGCCCCTTTGGAAGGACTGCTGTAAAGAGAGGTAGTCTGCGAGGCTCCTGCACTGGGGCCTGTGTGTGTGTGTGTTCACTCTGACCTCAAGCAAGTGCCCTTCAAGGTTACAGAAACACTTGGGTTGGATACACAATATTTTAAAAAGGAGAATCCAGCCAGGCGTGGTGGCGCACACCTGTCATCCCTGTGGCTCAGGAGGCTGAGGTAAGAGTTCAAAGCCAGCCTCAGCAATAGCAACTCAGTGGGATACTGTCTCTAAATAAAAGACAAAATAGGGCTGGGAATGTGGCTCAGTGGTTAAGTGACCCTGAGTTCAATCCCTAATACCAAAAAAAAAAAGAAGAATCCATTACAGCCCTCCAAAGACTCCACACCACTTACCTAGGCTATCTCCTTTCAGTCTTTTTCCTGTGCAGTTAATCTTATCTTTATTTTTTGACTTTTCTATTTTTTGGTACTGGGAATTGAACCTAAAGTTTCTTAACCACTGAGTCACATCCCTAGCACATTTAAAAAAGTTTTTTCGTTTTGGTTGTAGATGGTCAGCATGCCTTTATTTTATTTGTCTATTTTTATGTGGTGCTGAGGATGGAACCCAGTGCCTCACAGGTGCGAGGCAAGTGCTCTGCCACTGAGCTACAGCCCCAGCCCCCACTAGCACTTTTTGAGATAGGGTCTTGCTAGATTGCTGAGGCTGGCCTTAAACTTGCAATCCCCCTGCCTCAGTCCCCCAAGTTGCTGGGATTATAGGTGTGCATCACCACACCTGGCTTCATCTATTTTTATTGATTGGTTGATTGATTGTGGTACTGGGGATTGAGTCCAAAGGCACTCTACTCTCTTTTAATTTTGAGACAGGATCTCATTAAGTTGCCCACATTGGCCTTAAACTTGCAAACCTCCTGCCTCAGCCTCCTGAGTATCTGGGATTACAGGCATGAGCCACTGCACTCAGCTCCCATGTGGTTCCTTCTGTACAGCTACAATACATGATATTTTTCACTCAGTAACTGAGCAATAGCCGCTATTATGTTCAACATTTTACTGGTTTAAAAAATTGTCAAATTTACTTCATTATCTCTTTATGGCTGCAAGAAATTGAAACCACCCATATGACTAAATAAAAATAATCCTGGGAGCACATTTCTATATGTAAAACTTTCTTCGGTATTTGCAATTATTTCCTTAGGACAGGTCTCGGTTCCTGGGTTCGGTAGCTCTAGAGGGTTCTATCAACCTGCCCTTCTATCCAGATGCTTCCATCCCACTTGAGGAAAATAGTTAAAAATAACTTGGAGGGCACTTACCCATATGATTTCAGATTCACTCAAGATATCCGCCATGATCATGTCCCGACGATAGCCCCAGGAGTTCTTGTCGATGCTGGTGCACATCTCCCATTTGTGGTCCAGCAAGCTCTGTGGCTGGAATTTATCTTGACAGTTGTAGAACCCTCCGTGGTGACAGGAAGTGTTCCTACCCCATCGATCATTTACCACCACCTTAGCCTGAAGGAGGAAGGGCTGGGTCATTGGAGTAACACCACCTGGTTCCTCCTCAAGACGCAGTTTGATAGGATAAGAGTCTACTTGGAAGTAGGAACAGTGAACCTAAAGCAGAAGGTCTCAAATAGGGACAGATCTGTTAGGGTTAGGGTTAGGGTTAGTCCTGGCAGGGCATCTGGGAAAGGTCAGAGACATTCTTGGTTGTCCCACCTGGGGTGGTGCTGCTGCCTTCTGGTGGGCAGAGGCCTAGGATGCTGTGACACACCCTGTAGGGCACAGGATAGCCCCCAAAACAAAGGAATAGTCAGCCCCAAATGTCACCAGAGGCTGAGGATGAGACCCTGTCCAGAGACATATGATAGATAGCAGAGCCAGGAGAGGCTGCTTTGAGGACCAGCCACTTTACAAGAGGAAGAATGTAGAGGAAAGACTCATCTGAGGTCTTGTCCCTGGGCAGTTTCCAAAGCTGGGACAAGGAATTAGGCATCTGAGTCCAGCTCAGGTCACCTACTATTACACAACCCTAAAGCCAACAAATAATCATTTTCTTCTTTCAAGATTTAGCTGATTAAGAGAAATCACTACACAGAATATCTTACTGTGATATTTAATATATAGCAGTGTATTTTAATAACACTATCACCTCTTAATTGGCAGAAGGACATTCAATAAAAATAAAATTCTACTTTCTTGCCTGTTTTAAGGCCAATCACATTACTATGGACATTCTTCCTATGAAGCTAGTTGAGGACCAAAGCAAAAGAAAACATTTGTTGTTTGTAGCTAGTTTGATTCAAGGTCCTATGCTCAATTATTAATATCTGGACATCTTCAGAATTGAAAGGGTCAAGGAAAAAACCCAACAACAACAAAACCAAAAACTCAAAGGGTGAGTTCACCAGGGGCTCTGAGGGTCCCACCTGTGAGTCAGAGGAACTCAGGCAGGTGATTTTACCTTGTAAGTCTAGTTATCTGTAAAAACAAATGAACGAACAAAAAACAAAACTCAACTGACTACAAACCAACCAAAGGAAAATTACCTACCTCCTGGGGACTTTCAAAAGGATAAAAATGATAGCATCATGGCCCTGGCACAGAATGGTCACTCAGGAAGCCCTCATTCCTGCCTCCTTTACCTCCCTCTCAGCCTGAGAGGATCTGCACCCCTGTCTATATACTCGGTCCTTCAAGGACAGACACAGCCTTGAACTTCTTCATACTCACAGTCTAACTGGGTACCCCATGCTTCTGGCAGATTGTGGGGACTTAGGACACACCTCTATTGTCTTACTGATCACCCTACAATGCATCCTCTCACTCCCTTCAGACTGCAGTTCCTTAAGAGCAGAAACCGACAATTCTGAAACTGCAGGGCTCCACATACTGTGTGCCATAAAGCTGGCTCCTAATCAATCCTTGAGGAAGTAGGGAGCCATCTACAGCCCCATATATCTGCAAAGCTGGTGTATAAATAGGTAGAGACACGTCCACACCAAACGTTCTGTTTGCTGTGGAGTTTCTATGACAGCCCAAAAGACAGTCTCCCTGACTGTGTTTTTTTTTTTTTTTTTCTTCCAGCACTGCTGGGGATCAAACCCAGGACCTTGTACATGTCAGGCAAGTGCTCTACCACTGAGCTGCACCCCAGAGTCTTGATATGCTTTTTTTTTTTTTGGTATTAGGAATTAAACCCAGGGGTGTTTAACCACTGAGCCATGTCCCCAGCCCTTCTTTTAATTTTTTTTTTTTTTTTTAAATTTTGAGACAGGATCTTGCTAAATTGCTTAGGGCTTTGCTAAATTGCTGAGGCAGGCCTCAAACTTTCAATCCTCCTGAGCTGCTGGGATTATAGGCATGTACCACTGTGCCTGGCTCAATGGGTTTTTTTAAAACAGCCCTGAGTTGATATTTCTTCCCTTTTCTAATCCTGCATCTTTGCTTAATCTTTTTTCTTTTTGTTGTGCTCCTGAACTGCAGAAACTTGACGGTAACCCCACATAGCAAATGACCTGGCTTCTTGGGTATACACCTTGAATGTGTATGTAAAATCCACTTCAGAGAAAAATGGGGTGTTGGCTGGGCATGGTAGTACACACCTATAATCCCAGCTACTTGGGAGGCTAAAGCAGGAGGGTCCGAAGTTCAAGGCCAGCCTGGGCAACTTAAAAAGAAAATAAAAATAAAAAGGGCTGGTGATATAGCTTAATGGTAGAGTGCCCCTGGGTTCCATCCCCAGGACCCTGGAAGGAAAAATTAAAAAAAGGAAAAAAAAGAAAAGAAACCTGAGGTTTAAACCATCTCCATTCTTGGTTCAGTAGCCATCCACTCATTAACTATATACTCAGCAACTAGTATAAGGCTCAAACTGTGGCAGGTCCTGGGGTATCTAAGGTGACTAAAATACAGTTGTTGCCCTTAAAAAGTAAGCAGAGACTTACAGGAGACAGGTATGTGGACAATTATGACATATATCAGTTAATTATGTTAATTACCTAGGGTTGAACTGCACACCTAGGAATCCCTACATTCTCCCTGGAAACCATCTGTAATCTCTCTGTTCACCACACAGGGTCTCTTTCTTCTTTTTCTTTGTACCCATATTCTAAGTTTAGTAATAGCTACCCAACAAGATCCTTAGAGGCTTATGAATCTACTAACGAATTTTAGTTCAACTTTTATTTTTATTTTTTGGTGCTGGGAATTGAATCCAGGGCTTAGTGTATTCTAAGCACTCACTACAGCTACAACTGAGCTACAAACAAGCCCCCAAGCTGGTTTTTTGTTTTTGTTTTACAGTGGTTTCTGGGAATTGAACTCACAGGGCCTCAAACATGCTAGGCAAGCTCTTTACCACTTAGTCACATTCCCAACACTTAAACTGGTTTTAGATTTCAAATTTTTTAAAAAAAAATCTACAACAAATCTAGAATATGAAATATTGAATTTTCTATGATCAATATTGAGATTTCTGCTGCTTTGTAAAAGCACCACAATATAAACCATAAATGAGCAGCCATCATGCACTGGCTAATAGTGTTGATTGTGGGGAGCGAGTCAGGGTAGGCAGTATACCCACCAAAGTTTGAATACGAGGGAAAGGACCTTGCCCCTAGAGAATTAAACTACATAACCGATGTAGGGTGGGTGGGACCACAGACATGCACATTTTATTCTCATCGCTTAATTTTTGTTACATATTAATTTTGGGCTGTTCTCATTTATAATATTTGTTTGATAAGTTTATTTTTCTCTGTAAGTGGCCTGAGAACTCTATATGCTATTTCCATTCTACCTGAATTAAATGCCACTTAAACCTACGTTATCAAAACCAAGAATGCAAGGAGAAGAGGGTGGCTTGTTCTCCAGGACTTGAGGGTAAAGGAGGAAGGTTTCACAGCTGTTAGGCGCCCAGCCCTGCCAGTATAGCTCTTCGTCGTTGCTGCTGCTGTTCCTGTTAGTGCTCCAGATCTTGTGTTTTCTTTTATCCTAACAGATAAATAAGTCCTGCAGTCACCTACCTTGATGGGGCTATCATTGTAGAGCCAAGAAAGAAAACCAGTGGCGTTCCAGTAAGTATCGGGAGACTCCCACTCCCCATCTGACCAGATGATGTCAGGCTTGTAGCTGGAAGACATGTGACCAAGAAGAGGTTACTGTCTGAGTGCATCCATCTTGTGGACTGATCTTTGTTACAAATATTTTAAAAGTCTGAAAGTACCATATAAGTGCTGCTGTGCGGATGATGTAGAAACTAAAGAGACAGCGACCACACATCAGTTTGTCATCATAACCACTGATTAAACAAAGAGCTCTCTGGTATGTCTCCTCCCAAACTTTTTCTAGAAAAAGGAGTTGCAATATGCCATCTGGTTTCCTTCCAGCAACTAAAACCAATTAACAATGGTGCTCCAGCTGGGTGCAGTGGCACACACCTATAATCCCAGCCTTTTGGGAGGCTGAGGCAGGAGGATTGTGAGTTCAAAGCCAGCCTCAGCAACTTAGCTAGGCCCTGAGCAATTCAGCAAGACCCAGTCTCTAAACAAAATACAAAAATGTTCAGAGATGTGGCTGAGTGGTTGAGTGCCCCTGAGTTCAATCCTTGGTACCAAAAAAAAAAAAAAAAAGAGTGGTACATGTATTGAGAAGCCAGGCACGGTGGCACACACCTGTAGTCCCAGCAGTACTCAGGAGGCTGAGACAAGAGGATCATGGTTCAAAGCTAGCCTCAGCAACAGCGAGGCACTAAGAAACTCAGTGAGATCCTGTCTCTGAATAAAATACAAAGCAGGGCTGGGGATGTGGCTCAGTGGTTGAGTGCCCCTGAGTCCAATTCCCGGAACCACCCCCAAAAAAGATGTATTGACAGAAGGGTGTGGTGGTGCACACCTGTAATTCCAGCGACTCTGGAGGCTGAGGTAGGAGGACTGAAAATTTGAGGCCAACCTCAGCACCTTAGTGAGACCCTGTCTTAAAGTAAAAAATACAAAGGGCTAGGGATGTAGCTCAATGATAGTGTCCCTGGGTTCGATCCCCAGTACAAAAAAAAAAAAAAAAAAAAAAATTGTACTAGGCAGCTTATACTCACTAATTCTATTAGTTCTCATGACTCTGTGGTGTATTAACTCCATTTCACAGATAAAAAATCTGAGTTCTAGAAAAATTGCATAGTTTATTCAAGGCCATACAAGATTAGTAATGTCCAGATCTGTCTCTGGACAGGCCTTCTCTAGGCCTCCTACAATGATACTGTTTCCTTAGAGAAGTCCTCAGGGTAGAATCGGACCCAAGACATGTTGTTATTGTCATGGTCCTGAAATAGAGTTCAGGCAGAGTGGGCTGCCCCTTAAGTTCAAGGGTCTACCATCTGGTATGGCCCCGGGTACAATAGGGCAACTGGGAATAAACACGGTGAAGACTAGTGGCAAATTCTGAAGTGGAAGGGGCCTCTCTCTCCCTCCTTCTCATTTGCAGTTCTTCAGACTGAAGCCAAGGCCTTGCACATACTAGGTAAGAACTCTACACTGAGTTATAGCCCCAACTTTTAATTTTTTTTTGTATTTGTGGCACTAGGGATTGAAACCAAGGACACTCCACCACTGAGCTAAACCCCCAGCCCTTTTTCTCTTCTTTTCTCTTTTTTGGGTACTGGGGATTGAACTCAGGGGTGCTTAACCATGGAGTTATACTCCCAGCCCCTTTTTATTTATTTTATTTATGAGACAGGACTTTGCTAAGTTGCTGAAACTGGTCTTGAACTTGTGATCCTCTTGCCTACACTTCCCAAATCGCTGGGATTACACGTATGTGCCACCACAGCCAGCACAAAGAATGATGATCTCAGTAACCTTTACTCAGTCCCAGGCACTGTGACGGATGTATTCTATGTATTATTCTTAAGTCCTACATAGAAGGAATTATTATCACTACCTTACTGAGAATCTGAGACCCAGCAGGGTGATCTGTTGAAGGCTTCTAAGTGACAATAATACCCAATTTGTTAGACAACTCACCCCGTCTCCAAGGTCCTTAATGTAATGAAAACGGAAAGCAAGGAGGAAAGACAAGTCCTGACTTACTCCCACTCTGGATTTTGGGAGATTGTTTCAATTTATAAAGACAATATAATCACATTACAGAAGTTTCAAAAAGTAGGAGGAAAGTGTATTTTGCCCTAATAATACAACCACAGCCACCACTTTTATTATTTGAAAATTTCTAGATTTTTTTCATACCTGCCCCCACTCCTCTCTAAAAAATGTTCGCAGTATTGGGGACTGAACCTGGGAGGGCTCTAAAATGAAGCGACATCCTCAGCCCTTTGTTTTTTACTTTGAAGCAGGGTCTCACTAAGTTACTGAGGTTCACCTCGAACCTGTGATCCTCCTGCCTCAGCCCTCTGAGTGGCCACTGGGCCTGGCCTTCCCTCCTCCTCTAACAGCCTCCTACAGGAGCTCTGATTTCATTGATAAAGTCACAAGGCTGAAATCATTTCTGTTTCTGTATGTTAACATACCTGTTAACAAGGTGGTACAGCTCTGGAGTTGTTTTTACATTGACAAAATTCTGAGTTTTGAAGCCATTTTTCTTATCCAGTTGGTAGAGTGGATGGAACCACTCTAAGAGTGAGTGGTAGAGGCCGTAGCGCAGGTTCCTTAAACAGAAAGGCAGATGGAAACCGTCATTAAGCAAAGGACAAATAATTTGTATTTACATTTTTTTAGTTGTCAATGGACCTTTATTTATTTATATGTGGTGCTGAGAACCAAACCCAGTGCCTCAACACATGTTAGGCAAGCGCTCCACCATTGAGCCCCAGGCCCAGCCCCAGTGAAATCCACTCTTAAGGGCATGCAGGAGAGAGAGACCAAACCCATTTACTTCAATTCTCTCTTCCCTTTCCCTCCCACTTTTTCTTTTTTGTAGGGCTGAGATCAAACCCAGGGCCTCACACAGGGTAAGCAAGTGTTCTAGCATGGGGCTGCATTCCCAGCCCTTAAATTATTTCTCCTCATCTACTTAAGCAAAAATATTGGTTACTGTGTGTGTGTATGTGTGTGTGTGTGTGCGCGCGCGCGCATGCGCGCGCGCAAGTGTACATTTGGGGATGCTAAGGACCAAACCCAGGAGCTCATGCACTTTTTTTTTAAATTTTAATTTATTTTGTTGTTATTGCAGATGTTGTAGTTGGACACAATATCTTTATCTTACCTATTTATTTTTAGTGCCTCACATGTGCTAAGCAAGCATTCTACCACTGAGCCACAACCCCAGCCCCATGTACTGTTTTGATAATAAATATAACTACTTTTACACATAGATACCTTAACACCAAAATGTCACTTAAGGCAAGGGATGTAGCTCAGTGGTAAAGCACTTGCTTAGAAAGTCCAATGTCCTGGGTTCAATTCCCAGCACCACACACACACAATCAAAAGTCATTTAAACTATTTTTATGACAATTATTTCAGTAACATATATTCCTTTTTAAAAAAAAATGTTTTCAAGCCGGGGGCACTGGCACACACCTGTAATCCCAGAAGCTCAGGAGACTGAGGCAGGATTGCAAGTTCAAAGTCAGCCTCAGCAACTTAGCAAGGCCCTAAGAAACTTAGCGAGACCCTATCTCAAAAATTAAAAAAAAAAAAAAAAAAGAGAGCTGGGGATGTGGCTCAGTGGTTAAGTACCCTGGGGTTCAATTAAAAAAAAAGTTTTCATCATTAATCATAAATATCTATATTGTCGAGAAATTGGAAAATAGAGAAAAGCATATAGAACAAAATGCCCCAAATACTATCACTCTGAAATAATCATTTGCAACATTTTCTACATAGTTGAAATGTATGAATGTAGGTTTATTATTCTATTTATCTATGATTTACTAATAGTTCTTAACATACCCAAAATAAAATATGGTTAGAATAATCTGTTTCCATATATAAGAAATATTTTTAATTTTTTTCTAATTTGTCATATATGACAGGAGAATGCATTACAATTCATATTACACATATAGAGCACAATTTTTCATATCTTAGTTGTATTTTTTTCTTTTTTGTCAGTGCTAGGGATGGAACCCAGAGCCTCACACAGGCTAGGCAAGTGCTCTACTACCGAGCTTCACCCCACACTGAATGAAGCTTGTTTTGGTTTATGAATAGTGAGTTTCATAGCAGAGAGGAAAGAGAGGGTACTAAGCTAGGAAGGATGGGGATGGGAGAAAAAGAGAGGCTGGGTAACAGGTACCAACATCTAGCTACCCAAGAGGAGGAAGTTCTGGTGTTCCCCAGCACAGAGGGATGCCTGCGGTTCACAACAGTTTATTACATATTTTATAAAGAACTAGAAAAGAGGAGTGTGACACTCCCAACACAAAGAAATGGTAAACATTTAAGGAGATGGGAATGCTAGTTGCCCTGATGTGATCATGACACACTGTACACACACATCAAATTATCACACTGAAACCCATAAAGATGCACATTATGGGTCAATTAAAAAAAAAAAAAAGAATGGGTCCATCATGGTCCGAGGAACTTGGGAGGTTGAGGCAGGAGGATTCCAAGTTCAAAGCCAGCCTCAGCAACTTAGCCTAAGTATAGACCTAAGGTCTTAGCCTAAGACCCTAAGTATAGCAAAAGCTTGTCTCAAAAAAAAAAAAAGAGAGAGAGAGAGACTGGAATGTAGCTCAGTGCCCTGGGTTTAATCCCCAGTACAAAAAAAAAAAAAAAAAAGTAGTGTTACAAAAACATTATGATGCTGCAAGTGAGAAGAAAGGTTAAGACTGTAATGCACAGGTAAGAACTAAAGTTAGGATGTCATCTTGTGACTTGGGACCAAATGGCACATAGAAGATAAAAATCCTGGTCTCCAAAGTTCATATCAAATCAATATTTAAGATCTAATCAATACTGACATCAGGATTAAAGCATAGCATCAGGAACTGAATATGAGTAGTTGACAGGAATCGGCAAACTTGCTCTTAAAGTCTAGGAAATGTTTTAGGTTTTGCAAGCCTTGTGGTGTCCAGCTCAACTCTCAAAAATTGTACCTTGAGATTGTCTTACAGGGCATAAATGAACAGGCTCAAATGTATTCAAATCACACTATGCTTTATACACAATAGCAAGCCTACCCCTCAAACAGGACACCACATTGTCAAATCATAGCACAGCTGAGGCTGAACCCAGCATAAAACCACCTTTCCACTGTACAGGACTGTAGGATACAAAGTGCAAATATCTGGGTTCCAATCCCCACTCCGGGGCTGGGGGTATAGCTCAGTGATAGACTGCGTGCTTAGCATACAGGAGGCCCTGGGTTCAACCCCCAGCACCCAAGAACAAGAAAATAAATTCCACCTCTGCCACTCCCTATCTCTTTGATCTTGGGAAGCCACTTCTTATTAAGTGACAAATATTAGGGAAATTAATTAGAATCAACTGTGTGTCCTTCCTATCATTACATTTGCTGCTTTAGCTAACCTCGGTACCAAACTTGGCCTACCATCATCCAAACCCTTCCTGCGTAAAGCTCTATGCTGATAGCTAAGGAGAACACAGAGATGAGAGGCCCAGTCCCTGGTCTCCACCAGGCATTGGTGAATGCCCTGCACTGGAAGGCTTCCCAGGAGGGATCCTCTGCAGGATGCAGGTGGAGCACTGTAGTCTACGCTGGGTGTGCTTCACCCAACCAGAAGCCTCCATGAACTTCTCCAAAGGTGTCACTGTGGCCACGTGAAAACCGTTAAGACTTAAACACTGACAATTCAAAGGCTAGAAGCTCTTCAGTCTCCTTGTTAAGTGCAAACTTAGAATACACGTGAGCATATTAGGTACAGAACTCTGAAAGAAAAGAGATGAACAGGGTAGCTGTCCATAGACACACACCTACTCCGGACAGCTGCTCCCAACTCACCAACCAAATCACGATGGGGCCCCACGTCCTTAGAGTTCCAATTCCAAGACACAGGACTTGGCCAGTTTGTGAAGCCTTCGTGATGTTTTGTTGTGAAGACCACATACCTGTGAATGTCAAAACCAAATGAGCAAAGGAATTGGCCAACAGGTCACAAGCATGAACTTGCCCAGCCTGCCTGTGGCTTTTGAACTGGTCAGGAGAACTTGACCCCAGGAATCGTACTGGGATGGGTGACTACATTAGTGATACCTGGATGTTGCTGCAGTCACAACACCCTTGGGTATTATTCCAGGAATGAAGCACAGCTGGCAAATCAGAGTCTTTGTCTCCAGCCAAGGAGGAGGCCCAGAGGAGAGGAGAGGAGTAAGAAAAAAAAAAAAAAGTATACCTCAGCTCTCAGATTCTTCAACCCTTCTGGGTATGAACAATTACCTTTATTTAACCCTTTGCCCTAAAGGAGAAAGGTCTCTATTGGCAATGGCAGATGGGAGAAATGTAAGCTGTATGTTTTAGCAAGCCTATAGAACTTCTTATGTATAGAGGTAACAAAGACCCAAAGGGCCATGGAAAAGGGGCAAGTATTGAAATAACCAAGTGACTCAGTATTTCATTTACTTTTATGGCAGAAAAATAGATAACGCTATCACACGATGCATCACTGGAACTCCTGGATTTTGTAGGCCAGATAGTGTTTTAGGCTCGTGAGCCACATTCCTCTGTACACATTCTTCTCTTCTTCTATTACAGTCCTTTGCAAAAAAAAGGCATTACTTCTTCAGGATGGCCCTGCCTTCAACAAAGAAATGGATCCTTCACCCCTTTCCCACATAGGGGCTCTCCAAACTTCCAATTCTCTGACCATTCCGTTTGGCCAGTTTGCAGACCCCTGATGCAGTGGAGAAAGTATTTACCCTGTAGTCCTAAGGTTTGCAGTCTAGGACATTAGTCCCCTTCCTCTGTCTCTGAGCTACTCACCTTATCCTAAGGGGTTTGGAAAGAGGCTGTCTCCAGATATTAATTTTATTGTTGTTGTTGTAAATTATGGGTATCTAGCACTGCCAGAAGACAGATTACACTGGCTCTGCTTATTCAAGTCTTATTCCCATACCTTTAATTGGAAACATTAAATGCCAATTGTAATTTCCTTTTAGTATAAGAAAATCAAAAAGAGAAACCTGAAGCATGGCAGATGATTCAAGAGGGGAGATTGGTCTAAGCCAGGACAGGGGAACCTCGAAGCTTTGGCCTTACTCTATTCAACCCACTTCCCTTTCTCCGCTGTCAAAAGCAGAAACTATTTCCAGAAGGCAGGGAAGCCACTTCCTGACTTAGCCCGGGTCCATTCAGGGGCCCTCAAGGCTTACTTCTTCAGGATGGCCCTGCCTTCAACAAAGAAATGGATCCTTCACCCCTTTCCCACATAGGGGCTCTCCAAACTTCCAATTCTCTGAACCAGCTCCCCGCAAGCTCCAACAGGTTTTCAACACAATTCAGACCATTCTGGAGCATTTTCTATGAGCAAGGTACTGAGAAGAGCTGAAGAGGGAGAATCCATGTAGCATCCCCAATACACTACACGCCCAGGAGCTGGGCAGCAGACTCCCTTCCCTCTCTTTCCACCTTAGAGACATTAAACCAACCCGTGCAGTTTCCCTCTGTCACCATCCAAGGAGGCTGCAGGGAGGCTGAAGTTCACAATGGAACTAGGACCTGACTCCAGACCACTGATTTAGAATCCCAGTTGTCTTACGGATCTGGAAGGGGATCTGGAAGGGGCGTTAGGTACCGACCGCCCTTTGGATAATACAGGTGTAGATACAGAGAGCTTTCCAGACCATCCGGCCTGAAATCTTTTATTTTTAAATCCTCAACCAGAAGCACCTTCTCCTTAAGATCAGGTGTGCCACGTTCAATTCTGCATCCAAAACACAAGACCTGGAGGTACCCTAAGGTCAGGCAGGCCCTGGGCAGGCGGCCCGACCCGCCACCTCCTGCTGCCCGGGTCAGCCCGGCACTCACTTCGCCCCCGAGGCCATAAAGAGGTCGGCCCACTTTTCCGGTTCGAAGAAGCGCGCTGTGAACTGCGGTCCGAACTCGGGGTAGCTGAAGCCGGGCGGGTAGTTCTCGTTCATGAAGCGCCGGTACTGGGGCAGTCCCTCACCCTGCCAGTGCCACCAGAACCACTCGCTGCCCCAGGCCGGCACCGAGTACACGCCCCAGTGCACAAACACCCCGAACTTGGCCTCATCGAACCAGACCGGCAGCGGCCGGGAGTCCAGGCTCCGCCAGTCGGGGGTATAGCGACGCCCACTACCCCAGAGCGACGACTTGGCCACTTCGAGCAGTAGCAGCGGCAGCAGCAGCAGTGCGGCGACACGGAACCGCCACTTCTCCGCCACCTCCGGCATCGCTGCTTCTGCACCCTTACCGTCCGCTCTGAACGCGCAGAAGCTGACGAACGGCCCCACCCCTCTGACTAACGATTGGCTCGGAAAGGAAAAGGGGCGGGTCGACCCAGACGGGCTGTTGAGCCGCTTCCTCCACGGATCGCCCTTCCTCGAGCGCCCCCTGGCGGTCAAAGGGTGAAAGACGCAAGCAGGTCGGTGTTGAGCTCGCTCCGCGATGGAAGAATGACAGCTTTCCCCCTGGGGGTTTAACTGCGAGGTTAAATCATGGAGTTTGGGGAATCTTAGGGGAAAAGTGGGAATAATTCACTTTGCTGCGGTAATCTGGCAGGGGTAGGGGAGTTAGATCTTGAGTTTTATTTAGTGGGCAAATGGGAGCCACAGGGGGCTTTTGAGCTGTATTTCAAAGAGAAGCCTGAGAACATACCAGATTGGAGGGGTATTGAAACAGCCCCGGCAGAAAAAAAAGAAGTAGAGGGATGATAGAAAGAAACATTATGCGGAGAGCAGGCTCTGCCCTGTCCAGAGTTACTCCATAGTTTTCAGGCTATGCCTAAACCTGAGTTACCCCATTTTGTAGAGCAGTAGTTTGCCATCAACTACTCCTAAGTGCTGAGGTGGAATGACTCTACACCTTGTTTGTACAAGTAAACAACCACCGTCATCCCAGCACAACCAAAGAGCCCTAAGAGTGCCAGCTGGTAAATCAGTGTGCTAAAGAAAATGACCACCTGTGGACTCAGTGAATTAATCAGAAGCACAAGGATGCATGGGCATATCAAACTTGAATTGGAAAAAAACAGACCACTGAATGCAACAATGACCTCGCTCAAGGTCCACAAAAGGAGGAGTACCAGGAGACTGGATAGAGCAGCACCCTGACCCCATCACATGATCAGTCCTCAAGAGCTTTGCCCAGGAAAATCGTCACAGTGATAAAAATTCAAATCTCTGTCTTTGGGCTTTAGCAGGATGGGTTTTCTTCTCCCTGGGATGACCAGGCACTGCCTCAAACTGACACTCCAAGATGACACTCTGAAACTGCCTTCCCTCTGGATCTTTGCCTAGACTAGAATAAGTTCCTGTGCTTTGACAGCTCTGTGCCCTGAAAGAGTTCTTCTGCTGATTCATAATCTTCTCTGACAACACACAGTGACAGTTTGCTTTTGTGTCTGCTCTCCAGCTTCCTGAACTGCTGTGGTTGCTTTAACCCTTTCTTAGCCTTTCTGTAAACACACACACATACAGTGATGTGTGACTTGAGTGTTACAGATACTAGAAATTAAGGCTGGAATAGAAGAACTTGTGTTTGTCTGGGTTATGACTACCAGGTGACCCACAGGTTTTCAGTAAACTGCCACAATTCTGACACTGTGGAAAGACACAGATGTGTTTGGTCTATGTATGCCATAGCTTGCTTGCAACACCTTCATCAGGGGTGAGGAGGGAGAAGAGTGGGCACTGAGGGAGAAGGAGCAGGTGTGATCATTTTGCTGTTGAATTAGCTTGCTTTGGGAATTCTGAGGCATTTCAAAGAGTTCAGCATTTAACTATGAAAACGCGGCTGGGGTGTAGCTCAGTGGTAGAGTTCTTGTCTAGCATGTCCAAGACCCTAGGTTCAATCTTCAGCACTGCAAAAGCAAAACCAAACATGACCCGAGTTCAGGTTGCCATCAGTTACACTGTAGAAAACCAGGTTCAGCAAAGTGAGAGCCAAGACAGTGACCCTGGGAGGCTCTGTATGAACCTTGCCTGGCAGGGAGATCACCTAGGTCCTCTACTGTTGGCACATGTTACACATGCTCAGTCAGGTGGGAAGTAGGCCAGTCAGAAGTCACATGATCCCACGTGGAAGTCAGAAGTCCCTGGTCCCATATGACAAATCAGTCCCCATATTGTTATAGGGCTGGGGCCTTGCATGAAACTGAGGCAGCAGAGAGGCCCTCCTTTGAACCCCAATTCTTGTATAAACAGGCCAGAAAGATTTCAGACAAGCTGCTCATAGTAACACGCAAGAGTCTATTAGAAGGGATAGGATAGTGGGAAAGGGGACACTCTCAAGGTAGAGAGTGGGTCCTCTTGGAGAGGAGAGGGATGACATGCCCCTCCTGCCAGCCAGTTTTATTGGGGCCCCAGGGAAGTTTCTAGAGAATTGCACTGAGGTCCACCCCTTGACTTTTGACTATCAGCAGGATGACATCAGACTTTCAAGTTCCCCACCATATGACAATTCTAGGTCACTTCGGTCCATGCTGACTGGTTCTAACTGGAATGTGTTCTTACAGATTTTATGGTTTGGAGGGATTATCCTTTTCTTCTTGAGTTCTGGGATCTGGTCTGTGTAAGAGTCATAAACCTGCCCTCAGCCTTTAGCAGGGTAACTCATATTCTTCTCATTTCAGACCTGAATTTCTCTTGCAGATAAGAGATTGTTTACTGGGACTGAGGTTATGGCTCAGTGGTAGAGAGCTTGCCTCACACATGAGGAACTGAGTTTGATCCTCAGCACCACATAAAAATAAATACAAAACTGAAGGTATTGTGTCCATTTACAACTAAACATATGAAACAATCACATTTTAAGAAGAAACAAGTATTTGCTGAGGACTGCCACGTTTCCTGTGAACTTAAGCCAGGCTGGGCTGTAGGTAAATTGCTTTTTAGAAAAGAAAGCATGTGGGCTCAGGAAAGTGGGCCCATTTCATAGATTTATTCCTTTAACCTCATATTCCCACCACAACATCAGTCAGTCCCCCATCATGATCAGCAGGAGAACAGCAGCATGCCGGAGCTGGCCTTAAGGGACTTTATAGACCTCCGCCATCATCCCTTCCACACTCTTCCCATTTTACAGAGGGGGAAACGGAGGCCCAGAGAGGGGAAGATCAGGCAGCTCATTTGGATCAAGAGTGGGACCAGGATGCAGATCTTCTGGGAAGTGGAATCTGTGCCTCTGTCCACCTGCGGAGGAGGGGCCAGAGCCAGTGTTGATAGAACCAAGCACTTCCTTATTTGGGGAGCAAAACAGAAATACAATGGCTGTAGTATTTTCTTTATTTTTTGTTTTTCTTCCTCTGCAAGGTTATGTTGAAATTGTGTCACAAGAGTAAGCACAGTTACCTTAAAAAAAAAAAAAACAACACCCCCATACATCTAGTGATCAGAGCATCCTGTGGCCTTTTTTTTTTTTAATATTTATTTTTTAGTTTTAGGTGGACACAATATCTTTATTTTATTTTTATGCAGCACTGAGAATCGAACCCAGTGCCTCACACATGCCTGGCGAGCACTCTACCACTTGAGCCACAGCCCCCACCTTCCTGTGGCCTTTAACATACAGAACTTGTCTTGGGGGAGAAAAAATGGGACACTGTGACCTTCATTTGTCCTTACCCACATAACCAAAATGCCAACCCACCGGGATAGGTGAGCGGCATTGTTGGGGAGCGGGCAGAAGGGCATGACCAAAAACCTGGGGTTCTTGCATTGGGCACTGTGCTGGTCTCCTTGGGCAAGACTTGTCCCCTTGTCTGGTTCTGTTTCTTCCCCTAAGCACAGAGGACAACTTTCAGGGATATCCAGGGTGCTCTTTCCTGTCTCTCTCCCCCCACAACCTCTGCTTCTGTGTGGAAGTGCACTTGATTGAATGACTCCTAAAATCTAGTTGTATTCACTCAATAAAAATTTACTGAGTGCCACTTTCTGTCACGTACTTGGTCATTTTCTTTGCTAAATAAGGGGGGAAAGCCACCAATGAATAAGAGAGACGTGCCACAATAGTGAACATAAGAAATCACTTAAAAATTTTGTGTCATTTGCAGGGGATGCAGCTCAGTGGTAGCGCACTTGTCTAGCATGTACAAGGCCATGGGCTCCGTCTCTGGCACCAGAAAAAACACAATAATGGCATTTCTTTGCCATAATGTGAGTGAAAATAAAATTTTGGTTTTCCAAAATGCATGTTGGAGCTTTTCAGAGACAATTCAGTTCTACAGATGTTGACCAGGTCAACATCTTCTCCCTGAGCACTGGGGACACAGAGGCAAGCACAGAGCTCAGCTCCAGAGAAGACAAGCTAATGATTGTCATTAACACAGCCCAGAGGGGTGGACTTTGTCCCTGGTGGTTGCACTGGGTTGAACATTTTATAGTGTTCCCCAAAACTTCACATTTACATGGAGCCTGTGAATGTGACCTTATTTAGGGACTTCATTGGTGTAGCTAATTAAATTAACACCAAATCATGCTAGATTAGACACCAAGAGACAAGGGATAAAAAGGCTGTATGACTGGGGCTGGGGCTGAGGCTCAGCAGTAGCGCACTTGCCTGGTATGTGTGAGGCACTGAGTTTGATTCTCAGCACTGCATATAAACAAACAAAATAAAGGTCTATCAACAACTAAAAAAAATTTTTTTTTAAAGATCATATGAAGACAAGAGACAGAGATTGCCACAATTTAAAGACACTAGGAGCCATAGGAAGTTAGAAGAGGCAAGGAAAAATCCTCCCCTTGCAATTCTGGAGGAATCATGGCCCTACTGATTTTGGACTTGTGACCTCCAGAATTGGGAGGAGATAAGTTTCTGTTTTTTAAAGTCACCTAGTTCATGGACATTTGTTATAGGAAATTAATACAGGTGTACAGAATGGAACATGTTAAGAAACAATGCTGAGTTAGGGTTGCAATGGTCTGGTGTTCAAGAAAACCACCATCAGGCCTAATGAGCAGTAGTCAAGACAAATTGGACTGAACTAAGCTGAGAAGGTCATGTTTAAGGAGGCAGGCTTTGGAGTAAACAGAACCAGACTGGAAACCCCAGCTATGGGAAATCAGCTGTCCTTAACCACTGGTTCCGCGCGTGTGAATCTAACAAACCACAGATTAAAAAATTTAAAAAGTTTTTTTTTTTTTTTAATTTTATCTGGCCGGATGTGGTGGCACATGCTTGTAATCCCAGTGATATGGGAGGCTGAGACAGGAGGAGTGCAAGTTCTAGGCTAGCCACAGCAATTAAGCAAGAACCTCACTAATTTAGTGAGACCCTGTC